TGCAATATCCTTAGTGGATACCGAGCGGCACTCAATCATCTTGAATGCCGAGCTATTTGGCCCTTCTGTAGTGCAGTCATGCCATGGAGAGTAACCAAGCTCGAAGTACCACGTCATATTCGATGGCACGCATCCCACCATCAAAAGGTTTGGAGAACCGTTCTACGGATCCATCCATACATCACTTAGTTATGGGTCACTCCTATGTTGTTTCCTTACAATCGTTAAGTGATGTGCTGCTCGCATTTATGTAAAGCTGTCCTCTTGGAAAATAATGTAGACAGTGCTGAGGGTTTAACTGTTACACACATGAATATCGGAGGAGCAGGCTCAATCTAAAACGGGTTCGTTCTCATAGGAGTGAGGCTCACAGCACTCCTTTTATGGCATTTCCGTTGATCATAGTTTTTTATACCCATTTTACAGTACCATGCGCACCTTCCTCATGGCAACAGTTCTTCGCTAAATCTACATGCAACCACTGGACATTTGACGCATCCTCCTCCCGGCCCAATGATTTCTGGGCAATTCAGCATACCCCAAAATCATGGCCCCCACTTCAGCCATGGTTTGTCTCCGGGACCCCAGCTCGACACTGCAAGTCATACAATGCACAACGCTCAAAACACGTACATAAACACCCCTAGTTCTGTTCAGCAATTGCAACATCAGTTGCTAATGCAACAGCAGCAGGCCCAGTTACGATCGGCTCATCATTTCACAACACAAGGTATGTTTTGTTCACCGTCCCGTCTGTGAATGAATGCATTTACTTTGATCGTTACCGTTAGACCATAGAAACCACTCAACATGTTGGTTTTATTATGTGACCTGACATTTTTCGACATGCACCGATGTATGTAGACGATTGTCAACTGTTAACTTTTACGACTACGGATTGTTTACCAGGCCCTTCTGAAACAAAGAATTTTATAGTTGGTTTTAGTGACCTGACATTTTTCGACATGCACCGATGTATGTAGACGATTGTCAACTGTTAACTTTTACGACTACGGATTGTTTACTTACCCCTTCTGAAACAAAGAATTTTATACATTGTTTCCTGCACTACTCAGTGTCAACTCATCAGAAAAGCAGAGGCCTTCTTACCATCAAACATTGTGAATTTGAGAGTGGCCTTTACTCCAGACATTGTCTTCTGATTGGATATATATATAT